TTATATATACTCTATAAACAATTAAATAAATATTGTATGCAATAGAACTTTTGAAGATCTCACTGGTACAGTGCAAGCATTCTGAAATTTAAATATAGTAATTAAAAATTCACTGCCACTGTCAGAATGAATTACTCCTGCAGTTAAATTGGCACAGCAGCTATTCAACAGGAAAGTTCTAAATGTGGATTCTAATCTATTCTGAGCATTGGTAATTTTTTTTTAATTTGAGGGGGCATACACATTTGACCCCGTTCAGAAAACAGTTTGTTTATTTGTTTAGATGACTCTGAAGCTTCCAGACAATGAGGATACAAATAATTTCACAGTAAGATGATGGATTTTTTTGGCAGCTCACACCTGTTTGTTTCCTTCTTGAAAACTATCTATGTGTTAGAATCAGTTAATTGAATGGTATCCTAATTTGTATTCACAGAACTCATCATGTGATTTTTAAAATGGAATTTTCAAAGACGATTTGAGGCTATGAAATTTTACAAGTATCGAGAGGACCCATCACATTATCATGGTGTATAATCATATTTGCTTTTGTATAACAAGGCAGCTTCAAAGAGCAACTGGTCTCAGTGCCCTGAGCTGGAGGACCATGACCGTGAGAATGATTAACTCCCAGTCGACCCTGAAATTGTGCAGGATCTTCTGCTCCAGCTGGATTCCTACAAATCTATGGGGCTTGATGGGATTCATCCCAGAATCCTAAAAGGACTGGTTGATGCCACTGCAAAACCTCTCTTGATGACTTTGGAGTGACCTTGGGAATCCAGAGAAATCCTAGCTGACTGAAAGCTGGTGAACATTGTCCTGATTTTCAAGAAGGGCGAGAAGGAGGCCCCTGGAAACTACAGGCCTGTCAGTCTCACATCAGTGCCTGATAAAGTTATGGAAAAGATTATTCTGGGACGTATTGAAAAACATCTGAAAGGCAATGCTGTCATTGGTCACAGCCAGCAGGGCTTCATGAGGGGAAAGTCCTGCTTATCCAACCTGATTTCCTTTTATGACAAGGTAACCCGCCTAGGTGATCAAGGGAAGCCAGCTGATGTAATCTTTTTGGATTTCAGTACAGGTTTCCATACTGCCTCTCACAGGATCCTTCTGGGCAAAATGTCCAGCACACAGCTGGATAAACACATCATGCTGTGGGTAAGCAATTGGCTTACAGGTCAAGCACAGAGGGTAACAGTGACTGAGGTAACATCAGACTGGCAACCTGTCACTAGTGGGGTTTCACAGCGCTCCATCTTGGGCCCTGTGCTCTTCAGCATCTTCATAAATGACTTGGACACAGGACTGGAAGGGATACAATGGACACCACGATCCTTGTGGGTCCCTTCTAACTCAGCGTATTCTGTGATTCTGTAATTATCAAGAAATTAGTAAACAGAGATCAAAAATCTTGTACTGAGGACCTCAGCACAAGCTATTTAACCTGTTATGGTTACTTCTGGAATAAGAGGGGACCAGCAAGTGGCAACAATGGACTGGGGAAAGCCTCCAAAAAGCAGCCATGGGCCCATCTAAAGTAATAGATTGGATACAGCCAGGCTGAGTATGTTAACAGAGTAGATTCCTAGAGAAGAAAGTGAGACAGAGAAAAGCAACTCATGAAGAGAAAAAACAAAGAAGACAAAGGAAACTGTGATGACAAACTGCCTGAAAACCTCTAGTGAGAAGTAACAAAGCTCTTGTTCATGACCTCTTTCACTGAATGTGTAAACAGGCTGAACAACAGCCTGGGCTGCCCTTTTGATGGTATTTAACTCTTATCTCCTGTGACTAATTAGCTTTGCTCAATAGAGGTAAACAGGATCAAGGGGCAGCAGGGATAATGGTGATGGCAATGTGCTATAAAGCATAGGGAACCACTGATCAGCAAGATGGGGTCGCCAAAGGTCATCTCATCCATTTTACACCACAAAATGGTGGATGTCTCCAGGGTCCTAACCCAGCTCGTTCTAATGCTTTGAGGCCTTTATCTTTCTTCCATGCTTCAAAGGAAAGGCAAAGGTACAACATCCTTGGCATGATATGCTACCCCAGTGCTTAGATGAAGGATGTTCAAGTACCACCTGATGTCAGTCTCAGCTTTACACTGACGTGGGAGACCCTCTGTTCGGTGGAAATTCCCAAAGATAATTTCAGACCACCAAGTTCTTTTTTTTTGAGAGAGATATAATAGAAAACTGCTAAGTTGGCCCAATAAATGTAAGCTGTATGTAAGTGCTTTTCTCTGACATGCCCTACCCTCTTTGGAATATTTATCTTCTTTCATACATTCCCCCTGATACATTTTAATGCAGCTCACTAGAACAGTTCAGGCCTCTCACTTTATCCAATTTATTAACACAATAGTTTTTTTAAACTCAAAGGATATACTGATCTTTACTCTTTTCCAGGTAGAACACAAATATTGGAGAACAAAGGGCAAATTTTTCCATCATGTTTAGTGTGAAGAATTTCAGGACTCATTTGAAGAAATCTTGTGCATCCATATATTATAAACGTGGGAGGAATTACAGTAAACACCTACTTTTGGCTCTTCTAGGCCTAAAGAAGAGCTAAGAGCTTGTCTAACCTAAGACTGCACTTAATTATTCTATGAAACAGATCCCACCTTTTAAACAAATAACCTTTAGAAAGTTGTTCCACTTTCTAATTACTTTCACTGCTAAAATTTGGTATAGTACTCTGATTGTGCCTACTTTCCTTATCAAAATTGCCATACATTGATATACATTGATGGCTGTATAATTTTGTTGTGTGCTGAAAATGCTCTTTTATAAATAAAGTTACTTAGAGACTATGTTTATGTTAAACTCACAAAATTCCAGTTAATAAAGAGAATAAATTGATCTTTGGAGTCTCTTACTAACAAGCATTTTTCCAAACCTTTAATAACTCTCACAGCCTTTTTTTGAGCTCCATGCAATTTATGTCAGACTGAGCTCACTGTAGCTGGATACAATACTGTAAAAGCATTTACCCTGAAAGGCAGAAAACCCGTGACTTCACATCTTGTATTTGATAACCCCATATTTATAATGCCAAAAAACATATGATCCCTTTCAGGCATAGTGCTCCAGAGGGAATTTACTTCAGCGATTTTCTGCCATGATCCCCATCTTTGTTTAAACCACACAGTGTGCCTGTCTGCTTCCTGAATGTTAAAAACATGGAATGATTTACATGAGCAAGATGAGTAGCAGAAAAGGCCTTGACGCTGTGTAAGCACTGCTCAGCAATAACTAAAACTGTGTTATCAACACTGTTTTCAGCACAAATCCCAAACACAGCCCCACACCAGCTACTGTGAAGAACTTTAACTCTGTCCCCACCAAAGCCAGTAGAGTCCTAGGCCAAAAATTATCTTGAAATCACTTATAAGTGTTTATCAATATAATAATGCATATGATGTTACAAAGCTATACAAGGAGGAAAATGGTGATGTTCAGAAAGATCCTCTGTTTGTACTCCATCTCCTACAACTTCCCAAGATGAGAGAGCGATTTTTTACACAAGCAGATTGAGATAAGACAAAAGGGAGTGGTTTTAAACTAAAAGAAGAGAGATTTAGATGAGATGTTAGGAAGAAGTTCTTTGCTCAGAGGGTGGTTGGGCATGGGAACAGGTTGCCCAGAGAAGTTGTGGATGCCCCATCCCTGCAAGTGTTTGAGGTCAGGTTGGATGGGGCCTTAGTGAATGGCATCTGTGCCCATGGCAGTGGGCTTGGAATGAGATGATCTTTAAGGTTCCTTCAACCTAAACCATTCTACCATTCTATGATTATGATTCTAAGATTACTGTAAGCTCTTATTTTATTCCTAAATGACAAGATCTTACTAATTTTTGCTCTATTTCAATAAATAATGATAATTTAACCTCTTCATTTTGTCTTATATTCATATTTTAGACTGTAGATAGAATTTTGAATTTTAGCAGGTGATGAATACATTCCAGGGCTCCTTTTCAGAGCGAGCATTGTGTTTCATTCTCTGTGGATTCCTCCACCTGCCAGCACACAAACAATTGTAGGGTCAGCCCCTGGTTGGGCTAATGGGATCAGAAGGGCCACTTCTTTTTCAGAAACATGAGGTAAAAGAGAAGTAGCTTGTCCCTGCCTCTCTGGGGCTATTAATCTTCAAGTCTGCTGCAAATTTTGACCAGTATAGGTCAAAATAAAGTACTTAATATAAAAATATAGTACTTAACTGGTAAAACATAAACTGTGCAAAGTTGCAATTTATGGTATCAAACAATTATCAACCTTTATGTCTTGCTCCCGCCTTAGCTATCAATACTTACCTTTACACTTGGCAGAGAAATCACACTATTCCCTTAATAAAAAGCTCATAATAAATAATATTCTATTGCTCCACCACATAAGAATATAGGTATTAAATGTACACCCAATATTTATATGGGATGATGGCTGCAAAGTATTTCCTGCCAATCTCCACAAAAAGATTTTTCTCTCAGCTCTGCAGTCTTTAAAAGGCCTCGTAGAAATTCTCTTCTAGATGGTTGGTATTTTTCTGCTTATTTCTACATAAACTTTCTTCCAGCTTTTAGGGCTGAACATTGACAAATTTTCTGTGTAACATCTTTACCAATTTCCTCCTAGCCCTGTCAGTTGGTGTTTAAACCAGCTTTATTAAGTTAGTCACTCATAAAACAAATCACATTAGGAGAATATCAATCTATCAGCAAAAAAATTGAGAAAACAAAGGGAAGCTTCTGCATTTTCCAGAAGATTGTGAGAAATATGTATTTCAGCAGGTTCTCCCTGCTGGAGTGTCAGGGACTAATGAAAGTTACTCTACACCACCTGCTGAACAGAGCTAAATAGACAGTCTGATTAATTAAAGTGTTGTTTTAGCCAATGGCTTCAATTTCACTTTTTCACAAAATAGAAGTTCCAAAAAAGAATTATGGAGAAAACTATTAGGTTATTTAGTTCATTTCCTGTCCTTGCAGAATAGTTCCTCCAATTACATTTTTATTCCAATTTGTTCAATGCAGTTTAAAGGCTTGGAAAAGCATAAGCCACAGGTGTTGCCCACAGAAGGGTTTACAGTCTGGTACACCCTGATCTCTACCTTGACACACAAGTAATGACTTTTATTTTCATAATAGTATTATATCATGTCTACTTAAATAATGTCCCTGCACCTCTCTATACAGTTGATATTCCTATACATCAAATGCCAAAAGGCTACATAAGAAAATCCCTGTTCATTGCCCTTTAGTGTCTGAAAACACCTGCAGTGTTTTGAGTCACATCAAAACACCCCAAGAATAATCCAAATGCAGTCAAGTTTGCAATGGCTGTACAGTGTGGCTGGCATGGGCTGTGGGGGGGGGGGGGAAGAGAGAAAGTCTCCTTTCTTGCCAGTTACTAGTGTTCCTTCTTTGCTCTGTCTTTGTAGTCAGGTGCAATCCAGCTGTGTGAATGTAAAATCAAATATAATATATAATACAAACAATCAGAAATATGTCAAATTGATGTATCAAATGTTGGGCCTCTGTAACGTTTGTTTTTCTCCTATTTTTAGGTGTGTTTTTTCAGGTGTTTGGTAGTCCCACTGCATGCCCTGCCTTTGTGCATGGAAGCAATGCATTTTTATTGAAAAAGCAATCTGATTACCAAGATTTTAACAGCATCTTTGAACAGTTCTGTGAACTCTGTTATTACAGATCTCTGGGATTGAAAACTATTACTGATAGCCACAGTGCCCCTGAAGAGTAGCAAAAGATACCACTTTTTCAATAAAGTGTCTGGGAAGATAAGCACAGTTCTGAGCACCATCAAAGGCTTGGTGACTCTATATGAGGAGAATGCACTGGAAGAAAGAGAGAACTGTACAACATCTCTCCTCTCAGAAGCAGGCTCTATCAGGGGCATGGCAAAAACACATTGAACTGGAAATAGTAGCTAACACTCATCTATCTCCGGTATTTCACCGGCAGGGTGAGAATTATGACGTCATATATCCAGGCCTTTATGACTTATTTTCTGCATTTCTGCACTCACTTTCTGCTCCCTCTCTACAGTACACATACTTTATGTAAATACTCATAATATTGAAAGCATAGTCTGGATAAGATACCTCTGTTTATCATGAGATCTTTGCCTTTATACTATATAATACATCTGCAGCAGTGGAACTGGGGAGAAAACTCTGCTTTTCGTGTGAAGTTAAAGTTTTCTGTTTGCCTCCCTCCAAGAAGGCAGCAGACCCGCCCTGGCTGAAGAAACCAGCTGGATGGACATCCAGAAGTCTGGTAACTTTGGCATTAAAGAGCTAAGGATACAGCAATACATTTTCAGTGCCTCCAGAAGTTACTTACCTTTGTGTTAAATGAGCCAGGCATATAATAAGCCGGGTATATAATATGGTCCCTTGCGGTTATTTAGGTTCTTTGCAGCCTAATTACAAAATCTAATACAATTTGAATACAGTGTTTTGACAAAGCAGCAAAGGATTGTGGACTATTACCTATGGATGGTACATGTACCAGTAAAGCCAAGTGAGGTTTAAAACCAAACCTTGGGTTTTAAAGCATCCTCTGTTCTCTCAAGACATGAACTGTGTCCTGAATATGTTTATTTATTTTTTTTTAAATAACTGTTCCATATGCGTCAGGTACAATACCTGCAATTAATTACAAAGGACACAAACGCTATATGCAGGCAAAGCACACTAAACCTAAAAGTGGCTGATGCAACACCGCAACACACTGAGGCAAGGGCCGGGAAAATGGGAAAGACGAGCAAAATCTCGCTTGTGTTACTTCGCTGAGCTGCTGGAGCTGGCGCTGAGAAGAACCTTGTGGGCTTACAGGTACCTGAAAAAGAGATGTAACGAGCAGGGTTAGTGAGGGAGCCCTGCTGGGTGCGCGGCTCTGAGGGCAGCGACCGCCGCTCAGCCGCCACCTCCCCGCCGCTCCCCTCAGCCCGCCCGGGCGGCGCCTGCGCGGGGCCGCCCCCCCCC